TTTCTTTGGTTCATTATTCGTAAAATAGTTGGATAACAGGTTGCTGCAAACGGGTTTGGGTTCCCTAAATGATCCATTGTTTCATGTAAACCAGTTTGGAAATTTTTGCTTTTGTTTTCCGATCTGCAGATTGTTATTTTCTCGACTCTTTTGCAGGTCATTTCAAGTTTACTTAGACCTCGGAATTGGAAAGCCCCTGCTAATAGGAGGTTTTTCCTAGATTCCTATGAAGTGGGTGAGCTTTGTTATGCTGCTGAACAGATCTTTATGCACGAGCCGACAGTTCTACAGCTTAAAGCTCCAGTTAAAGTATTTGGTGATCTTCATGGACAGTTTGGTGATTTGATGAGGCTTTTTGATGAGTATGGATTCCCCTCCACAGCTGGAGACATAACGTGAGTATTGCCACTTAAGATTATGTTACAACTGCTTGTTTCCTTCCATTGCATCTACGTAATTCTTTTGGTTTTGAATCAACTTAAAATCTGGAGTATGTTTGCCGTATGACCTTTTGAATCCTAGGTGTATGTGAACCTATGTATTCAAACACGGAAAATCTATAATTCAACATTGAGAGAATACATACATATATATATATATATATATATATATATATATATATATATATATATATATTTTAAAGAGAAATCGAACTTTTAGGCATACCAAAATAAAGCCCACAAAAAAGGAGTCAACCTAACAAAATCATATTTTTTAGAAAAGTAATACCACATTGGTTTTAAAGGCTGCTTTCCATTCGTCTCCTAGTCTAATACGAATTTGGTGATATTCAGTCCTTAGATCCTCCTTAGAAAACATTTCGGCTATCCACGTACATGCGTCAAGAGCTTGTTGGGATATGGATTCGGATGATTATTTATAGTAAAAGATCGGGTAGAGATATATATGATAGATATTTCGTAGGTGGTTCAATCTGTTAAAGCTATATTTATTAAACTAAAACTATATATATATATACCCTATTAGGCAGTGCAAGAATGTATTGTCCGGTGGAATACAAATCCTTTAGCCAATATTCCTCGTATTTTCTATCTCCTATTCTTTGTGTTCATCTTAATCGAGTGTGTGCGTTATTGTGCGATCTAATAGAGCTTTCCTTCATAGATGTGAGAAGTGCTTGAACAACACAAGGGCTCAAACTTGGTTGAATGTGTCCTTTTTGAAGTAATTCTTATCCTGTTCTTGTAATACTCCATACCATTGTGGGCTCATTCGATAATGGCGAAGATTTGGAGAATAGCAACCTGTTGGTGGTGGTCTCGTGATGATTATGATTTTACATTTAGAAAGTTAGGCTTGTTTCTTATAATAATAATAATAATAATAACAACTAATTTCAGAGATTAATGTGTTTGCTAAGTGAGATTTTTTTTTTCTTCTAAAAAATATTTCAGGTATATTGATTACTTGTTTTTGGGAGATTACGTTGATCGAGGACAACACAGCTTGGAGACTATAACTTTACTTCTCGCTCTCAAGGCAAGATTTTATTTAATTTTTTCGAATGATCTATTATGTCACTCTTGTAAACGTATATTGACATGATTATGAATTTGCAGATTGAATACCCTGATAATGTTCACTTAATCCGTGGAAACCATGAGGCAGCGGATATAAATGCACTATTTGGTTTTCGTCTTGAATGCATAGAGAGAATGGTAGGAATAGATATGTATTTACAACATTAATATTACTTAAAGTTAATTAGAGCCAGTAACGTAGGTGTCTGTAGGGAGAGAGTGATGGAATTTGGGCGTGGACGCGCTTCAATCAACTATTCAACTACCTTCCCCTTGCTGCATTGATTGAAAAGAAGATTATTTGCATGCATGGAGGCATAGGGCGATCAATACACACGGTTGAACAAATAGAGAAGCTTGAAAGACCCATTACAATGGATGCAGGGTCTATTATTTTGATGGATCTGCTTTGGTATATTTAAATTCTTTCATATTTTTGTTTGCTATTTCATTTGGATTGTGAATTATTGTCTGTTTGCAGGTCTGATCCGACAGAAAATGATAGTGTTGAAGGTCTAAGACCTAATGCTAGGGGGCCTGGTCTTGTCACCTTTGGGGTATGCTAGTTATTAGCGGCTACATATTTATTACAGAAGAACAAGAGAAGAAATTATGCAAACCATATCTCTCTTTTATTGTTTTATCTGTGTTCAACCATAATTCAAGAGGATTTTTTTTTTTTTTTTTTTTTTTTTTTTTTTTTTTTTTTTTTTTTTTTTTTTTTTTTTTTTTTTTTTTTTT